GTCATCATCATATGTTAACAACTTTTAATAGACTCTACAACTTGAGTGGAGGTCAGATGCATGGCCTATACTGAAACGAGATCGGACGGTGACGATTGCTCTTCTTCTTGTCGCTCATGTTGGGAAAATTCATTCCAGACACATTTCGAGCGCTGTCAACAAATTACATTTGCAATAATGAAGAAGGGAGCAACTTTTTCAGCGGCCAAGAATCACCCTTGATAGATCCTTGACGCAAATATCTCCCCAACTAGAGAATTAAGAAGGAAGCTAAACAGACCGTTAGAAAGCGCAAACCTTCCGCTTTCCAAAACTATCTTCGCTTTCCAATGTTGTGGCAAAATTAGAGAGATATTGCCTTAAGTGACAAAAACTCGCTTGAAAAATTCCGCATCCTCGACACTCCCTCGACAAAATTTGAGAGAGCTTATCTCTTCGAGTATAAAGCTTTCAGATCAAATTCAATATTGCCCGGTAGCAGCAAATCGAGCTCTACCTAACCCTAGCACATACTGCTCCATAGGTTGTGGAATGAGGGAATGGAACCTTTTTATCGAGAGTGTAGATTTCGACGGTCTCGAGCGGGGTTTCGGAAAATCTGACCCACGGATAAACTGCGCTGCGATCGAGCGCTTTGCTGCGCATTGATGGAACTCGCTTATCCACATCAAGGCAAATGGGTCGTTAGAGAGTTAGAGGGGTCGTACCAAGATCCCGATCTGAGTTGGGGGGGGGGTCGGTACCGATCTGGTCACGTCCTCGACACGATTTCCACCTGGTACCAAGTCATGGGTTGTGAGTGCAAGGCTTTGTGACTGCTTGTGAGTCAGCACAAAGGCCTTACCTCCTAATCCTCTATTACAAAATAGAAGTTGAGCTCACTATGCACTTAGATCGTGAAAACAGTAGTTAACGATTGGTTTCGTTACCAATTTTCATATGTGTATTGATTGACGCGCAGATGACTACGGCAATCACATTAGAGGATTCTATGATGAGGTCAATGGAAGGAAACTTACCTAGCGGAAAGACAGGCGGGTTCCTAAAATGCGGACCAACCGGAAGTCGTACGAAGGATATGCCCCGGCGACCTAGCATGGCCGTCCCCGCGGCGCTATCGACGCGGCACGCCCACCGACTGGTTACCCAGTCACCGCAGGTCTTTGACCGCTTATCAAAGAGAGTGTGTTAGCGTTGAAGAGGGCAGCACCGATTAGAGTCGCATTAATGCCGAAATCAACGGGGGAGGAAGGACTTCCATTTCTCGAGTTCTGGGCCGTTTTTAATAACCTTTTCTTCTTCCTGGCACCTGGCCACCACTACCTTACCTCTGATGGGCTGCCTTCTTCCGTAAACTCCACTTTTAGCAACCAAATCCAAACGGCCAATGCACTAAATCCAGATAACTATAAGACCTCAGCAAAGGGAACGATTACGATAAAGAGGGAGCGGGAGAAGTACATAGACCACTTGAAGTAGTTCCTTGACTGCCAAAGAAGCAAGATGTGGCGCTGACACGACGAAAGAGCGTTGGCTGATGAGCAGTACCTGGTGAGCATTCCGCAGCAAAGCGCTCAATGCTATGGTCTCTCGACGATTAGGGAGACCTGAGTTGGCAGCAGCGGAACAACTGGAGCAGCTTGACCGGATTATTCATCAACATGATGCTTCCAAATGCGTTACAGTGAACTCGTCCACACATAAGTCATTTTAGCCGCTGCCCGTCCTTGACGCAAATCAACGGCCAAATACGGATTTTGCTTTTTTTCACCACAGGTGTACCATTTTACGATAAAGATTGTACACCCCTACATCCGATCTGAACCCCTGAACAACATTTTATAATTGCTGCCTTCAAACGCAATGGAGTTTCAGGAAGTCTATCAATTGGGGAAAACAGTAGACTGATGTCAATTTAAGGCGTTCAGAAGGAGAAAAACAGCTTTCCAGCATGACTAGGCAAGTCGCCAGGAGCATTTCCCTTGTGATTCGGAATCACAACTCATAGCTTGAGAGCCGATAATCTGAGAGAGCCTTGAAGGATCAGTACCTAACAATCAAAACCTCGTCAGAAGTCCGAAGATACACGTAAGGAGAGCAGCACACCATCGCATCTACCATCACCGATGAAATTACCGTAGGAGGTCGAATCGAAACACCTTGTTCCGTAACAGAGATAAGAAGTCCATCCATTCCAGCTACAAGAAACTCCTGCAAAAAATAACCAAAATAAAAATGGAATGGGAACCCCAGCTACATCATTCCCGATAGGATGACTGTAGAACATTTCAAGTTAGAGCGACGATATAGATCTTCAGCGCACAGAACGCTCTTGGAATTCGGCGTGCTCACTGAGCATCAGGTCGGCTGAAGGTCACGCTTTTGCTAGCCATACAAATACCATTAACCTAAGAGCTAAACAACGCGACAAACATTACAGCACGGCAGTTGAGTAAACAGTCGTAAATGAGCTATTCTTACTGGATGAAGTGAGCATGAATTTTACACTGAAGCATTGCGGTCGCGTCATTTGCGCAATTCACGATAGCTATTAATCGCCGACTATAAAGCCAACCTTGGGTCCCCCTCGGCATTCTTCACATCCAGATGGACAAAATTGTGCACGCTATAGCCAATTTATGTAATCACAGAGTTAAATGTGAGATGGAATATAGAATGAGGTTCGCACCATGTCAACGCAGCAGATCTGTGGTCGGATGACTTTCGCATCAAACGAAAACAAAGGGATCACCGATTTTGTGGAAACATTGTAAATGTTGTACATGCCATTCGCTGCAAAGCAGATGGTCAGCCTGAAACATCTTGAATGAAACTCAGGAAAAAATGAGTAGGCTTTATCTGTATACCGTGAGAATGCCATTGCAGATGTATTTACTTCTGTATTCAATTTCTGCACAACTTCCATTTTGCCATTTCGTCGTTCGCAAAAGTGTATTTGCTTTGAGGTGGTTGCGACAGCGATTTGCAAGCAAAATGGATCATCGACTATCGGATTCGTATTAACAGCAATGCACTGCGCTGACGGTCGGTTTGAAACAATCTTTAAAACATAGCTTTAAACAGATTTTCGCTTTGCACTTCTTCAACCTGGCATTGTCAGATCTTACATGCACCTTATGACCAGACTGAGAACATGAATTACACCATGACTACAAGAAAAAGTTCTGAACTCACACTAAAAGATTCCAGTTCGATATCAAATAGAATAGTGTCACAAAGTGCTAGGATAATATCGAGAGCTGATGCGAACTCGATTTGTCGAATCACTTGTTTCTAAATAATGATAATAATAACAATACAATGCATACAGCTCAAGCCCTCAAGCATAAGGTTCCATAAGAGTAGATCGACACAACTATCTTACAGTCGGCAGTTCAAAACTTCCAGCAACTTTGAAACGACTTTTTTGCTTTTTGATATGTATGACACGTCCATTATTTGTGCCCAAAAACACAACAGATGATGATCCACCTATTGCGGTGATCTGAAAATAGGGCTGTTTCAATGCCAAACAACCTTTTCAAATGATTTGCTGAATCTTAATCTGTTCTAACGCCAAAGGATTGATGTAGATATAATTTGCGACCTACAAAAAGAGGCGCATTTTTGCACCAAATGCCCTTCCCTCCCCCCTCCCCCCCCCTGTCGACGGACTACTTGAACTCAGCCCTTTAAATCCCTTTGCGCTCTCTCGCGGGTCCCTCTCCGCTCCAAGGCTTAGTCCTATGGCATTCACCCGATCTCTGGCCGTCTGTGCTCCAGCCAACGCGGCAGGACCACTGAGTAAAAATCAAGTATTACGTAAACCCCCCCCCCCTTCCCCACTCGCCAGCAACACATTTTAATCAACAAATGGACTACAGAAAGTGAAAAAATCCGTATAAGATCGATAATAAGGAAGACTGCTAGGAGAGAAATACCTCTTCATCCGGCTTCAGATGGTTGGCTAGTTCGCAGCAAATCGTCAGTTCGAACTTGTCAACATCAGGAATGCCATCACTCATTGAGTGGGACTTTTTCTGAAAAATCCACTAATTTTATTTGCTGATAAATATTTTGATCATTGGATTCCATGCCACTTGATAGCAGTCACAACTATTAGGTGGCCAGCTTAATTAAGATCAGTGCCATTCATTTATATCCAAAAAAATAAAAAATTGGGACTACGGACGTCACAGACCATTGTGAATGCCTCTTTGGTAACATGGGCTTCAGTAATCTCCTCCACCCCCAACCTTTCTATTGCGCGAAAATTTCCTCTGCCCTCTTCGGTGAGTTATATTTTTGTAAGGCGACCAATATTTATTTTGAAGACACCATAATAAAGGGAAACTTAGGCAACGTTCACAGTGGGGTCATGGCATTAGTACATGCGATCAGACGACGATCCGAAAGGAACATATGTTTGGATTAGATGACGAGTGACGATGCGAGTAGGCTAGCAGCCGTGAACAAAAGGATGCATGATGTTTTACTCACCTAATCGATACGTATCCTTTTCCAGAGAAGTCGCCTAATCGCGCGCATGACGCCAATGCTGAATGCAGCCTTACAAGGGATTCTCTTAGGAATTCTACTATTTTTGGATGGGTGAGGTTGTTTGTCTCTGCCTCACAACAAGAAGACATCTTGAGACACCCCCATTTACCTATAGCGGGTAGTCAGAGAAGGGAACTAAATCTTTTAAATTTGTTTCAGAATTTCAAATTCAAGTCAAACGACATAACTATTGGTTAGTTTGAAACCAGCCAGGATAGAACTGAGATAAGTGAAGTTCCAACAGTTGCTCCACTAAGTTTCACCCCTTTCAGAGTAATCTTTGGAGTGGGTGCACCTCAGCACTGAGGCAGCGACATTTTTTGGATATTTAGAAAAGCCCGATCCCACGCGGAAGGCGTGAGAAAAAGCGCTTAGTCGCCAATGTGTTGAAAAAGATAAACGAAGAGAAATCAGTTCTTCTACGCATCATTTCAGATAACTGCCGTATTTGAAACAACATAAAAAAAATATAAAAAGATCAATGAAGTAGAAATATATTTATCGGAATCATGAAGAGGAAAGAACGATTGAGACCTTGGATAAGTCAATATTGGCAAGATCATCCGAAAAATGCTAGATATGATGACATCAGTGAAATTACTTTGGCTTTTGCTATACCATGACTTGTATTTCAAACACTAGAAAGTACCCAGAAAACCAGTAGTATAGATGAGAACCGATCATCGTCGTGCAATACAATAAGAAGTACATGTGGGAAATTCCACCAAGCATAACTCCACGACAGAACACTAATGCAATACCTAAATAAGTAATCAATGAAATTGATCGTAAAAAGCTGACCAGATTATTATCACAAGATGAAGATCATATGAGATGATAGTTTGACTAGAATGATCACATATAGACGTTTAACGAAACAAAACTGTAACGAATAAAACCTCTGAATCGACATGTTTAACATGACTTCTAAAATGCTATGATCATTATTTCCCCGATCCAGAGTGTGGGCTAAAGCGTGTATAAATAATGTGTAAATGAATTTTAATTTGCGCACAATGGACGGAAGGATAATGACCACCACAAACTCCCTGCATTACGAATCAAATGAGTAGAAAAAAGAAATGATGAATAGAAACAAAACAATCAGGAAAGATTCAAAATGCGTCCTTCATCTGCTGGAATGGTCGCAGAGCCAAATCGACCGGTAGTTCGACATTATATTTGTGTAAACACTCCAACAACGTGTACAACTCCTCGCAACCTGAAAAAACTCCCGAATAAGCGACAGTTGTCAAGAAATGGTCACTAGTTTAGCATTGTTATTGTTCGGAAAAGAAGATAGACGGTCAGGCATAAAGGTGGCAGTCGACGTCTTTCGAATTCTAGCTAAATCTGAGATTTTGATCCAGCTTTAAAAAGGTGGACCAGTCACCTTTGCATCATCCCACCCAGCCCGGCTGCTATCCCTAATCCACAACTTCATTCGAGACATTTACAGTATCGGTCGAACACTGAGTGAAGATATGCCATGTGAGCAAGCAGGGTTCCAAGAAGGGTCTGGTCGCGCGACCAAATCCACGTTTATGAGACTCGCTGAAGTTTGAAGAGAGTGCTAGATGCCGCTATGATTCATGTGTTCATCGACTTGAGAGAGGCCTTGACTCTGACATCGAAACCCCGCCTAAACAGAGCATTCTTGCTGAGAACATCAGAACTCCCCGCGAGCACTCTCAGAAAGGTCGGTATGCGGCTGAACCATTCGGGGCAATGTTTATGAGAACAGTGATACCTGATATCCCACATACGCTCAGTTGAACGAAATCTCCAAATGCACTAGCTACGCGCGCTTAGATCGGAGAATAAACATGGTGAACGAGCTAGACCAAGCCGAGCAGGACAAAGCAAACTGCGTGGAAGCATACAAGAACAGCAGGGAGTAAAGGAGAAAGCGCAGAACACTGCCACCCTTGCCCCATCCGAAATGGTGAGCGGGCAAGAGTTCTGTGATTGAAGAGACTGTTCCCAGAGCGTTATCGCGCCGTGAGGCACCACTTCCACAGAAGCGCCACCTATCGTCTTCTCGGGTAGGTCTCCCACCTAAACCACCCTTTCGAACTCGTTCAAATGAGACCTATCACGACCGCTCCCTTTAACACATGCCTCAAAGATCTGGACTCTGCACATGCGGCACGAGCATGCAGGTAGCGTAATCCAGCTCATTGTAAAGAAATGATTCTTTGAATTTCCCGATACATCCAAGCGCCTAACAACATCCATACTTTTCGAACTCCGTCAACAGCCGAAGAACAGGGGCGCTGCCGTTTTTGCCAGGGGATCGAGAATCAGCTAGGCCGGTCACATCACGCGATATTGTAATGGCTGTTGAACCAGAACGGTTACCGATTGGATCCATCAATAGTCTAACAATCTACACCCTCCCAAAGACCAGACCTCTTCACAACGGTCTGGACGAAAGAAACGATCACATCCTTATCCCGTGAGGGAGAGGCATACACTGGAGCACTCAGGCAAGCGTAGACGGGGGGCATCGAGAATCAGCTAGGCCGGTCACATCACGCGATATTGTAATGACTGTTGAACCAGAACGGTTACCGATTGGATCCATCAATAGTCTAACAACCTACACCCTCCCAAAGACCAGACCTCTTCACAACGGTCTGGACGAAAGAAACGATCACATCCTTATCCCGTGAGGGAGAGGCATACACTGGAGCACTCAGGCAAGCGTAGACGGCAATTTCGTAGGTTTTGGAAACTCGACGAGCATAGGACGAAAAGTGCTTCACGTGATTATGGGTTCTTAACGGAAGTGATGCGGGAAATTCGCGAAACTACAATTGAAATTTTTCAGATTCTAATTATTCGAGTCTCACGCGGCAGATATTTTCAAAACTACTCGTACGTAATTGCTAAGTTGTAGGATTCGAGAAACGACTTCCTTGCCTTTCCTTGTCGACTTCCTAGTATCTCTTCGGAGGAGATGCAATCATTAAAGGATGGAACCAATATCGAAAATATGCAAGTAACAATAAGCACCAAAAATTGAGAAATTGAGCATTATAACGGACAAAATTCTATGGAAAAAAATTATAGGTCTCTTCATTGTGAACACACCTGTTCTGGATACGTAGCTCCAACTATTGTAACACATCTCCACAACATGACGAGTTCGGAAAATTATTCTATAAATTATAAGGATAAGTAAATAGGAAGAATACATTAATAGAAAGAGCTGCACGAGAAAGCAATCTACCGAAGCCAAGCGGGAAGTTTTTTCTCATTCATGGCAGCTGATACAAACGCTTTCCACTGAGAATCCTTCGATCTCCGTAAGCGAGCGTGCGATGAAACAATATTTTCAATGGTCGTCAGCAAGATCTGTTCAAAGTAGAAATAGTTCCCTTGTGTTATCAATAAACTTAATGACAATAACTTCAAGATCCTAGCAATAATTTAACATGAATCACCTGCTTCGAAGACACTTCTCCATGCCAACATTTTCGAGTTTGAACGATTGGCTGAGCGTCCGTACGGGTGCCTCGCTCAGTTCACGACCATTTTTGAGCCATAAAAATACAGCACGACATCCCAGACATGTTGGAGCGGAGTGGGCTTGGAATCTAAATCGCACGATCAACGCAATAAAAAAACAGCCTGTTGTTCTACGCTTGAAAACAAACTTACAATTAGAACCATTCTTTGATACAAAGCACCCCAAGCCGAGGGATGATGGTAGAGAACGTAGACTGACCGTTTCACTCAGCATGCCATGCTCCAGTAGTGCTCTCAACGATGGACACAGCTGTCTTCTCACAACAGAAACGACTTCTTCTTCTGACCGTTCAAAAATCTCCTGCATCAAAGAACATGTACTGACACATAACTGAATAACGACGCAAATAATAGATGAAAGTTATATTAATACGGAGTTCGAAATATCCCAATTGGTAATAGAAAAAAAGCGACTTCAAGACAGAATAGTAAACCATGAAATTCCCTTCTAAGTAAATATCAAGTCCTCGCATATTAGAACCGGCGTTTTTTGCTACTTGTTTGTGCTTTTGGCCACACCTGTTACGAGGCTGTTAAGTGGGTGAATTTGCTATGACCAACGTTTCGACCGTCCCGCCATTTTCGGATGCCCAGTTTCCAGGATGAGCTGTTGGCTACTAATGTAGTAACCGACTGCAGCGCTCTGCAACACATCACGATGAAGACTAGGCTGCTGAAACGACGGGACGGTCAAAAAGTAGCACGTCGATGTCTTGCTCTGCTACGCCCCTGACTACGATGGCGATGAGAACCAAATCGTTCGGTCCTGAGAATTTTTAAGAACGACACGCGCATGGGTGCCTTCGTATTACCGTTGCCTAAGAGTTCGAAAACGGAATTCTTCTTTTATCCTATAGCACTTCATCTTCTACCTATAAAAATGCGGTTTACACTGCGAAACGAATCCATGCCAAATTCCTCTGCTCTGTCGAGAAAGGTAAATAATTGAAGCACGTTTGAAAAAAACGACATTAAGCAAAACCTTAGGACAAGATTAGAAGCCATGATAACTTACATCATTTACGACATCCATTTCTTGTAAGTCTTTTTCCCCTGATGAGCCTTCGATATTCAAAAGAGTATATTTTTCCAACACTCGCTGAGTTGCATCTACCGCCAACTGCAAACGTGCACGCTCATCACTGAAATAGACTTCGGGATAGTTAAACATGCCATAAATATTTCACACTGGAATTTAACACTGGTAAACTACAAACTGCAGATTACAAAGGAACAGAGGGAGAGGTAGCATAAACGATCGGGATTCTGCCTTCAATCAGAGGAAATTCCCGATGACGCGAAAACTCAGATAATAGTGAACATAAAGGTAAGCCATTTAGATGAATCGTTGTGTTTTCTTTCCGTGAAGGAGAGCATTCACTGCCCTCACCAGGTTCCGCCTTGTAAGAACAGCCGTGATGAGCAGCAACACCTAATCAAGATTCCAACAGTCAAACTAGCGCTGCAGCCCGTCCGACTTCGACTTAAAAAGCACAATATCGACTGCCATCACCTTCGTGTGTCTCTCCCGTACTCTACTTTTACGTTCGTCCTATTTTTGCCTTGTTTTCGGGTTCTTGTGTGTCGTGGTGGATGAAGCGTTGGATTTTTCCTGTTCTAGTCACACTTTCTCAGGAAGAAAAGCCCTACTCAACCTCACAAATATGAACAAGAAAAAGATTCTGGCAATCAATGTGAAGTAGTTCGTGGGAAATTCAAGCGTAGCACCATGGAAAATAGCCATGCACGATCTCTTCCTTACGTACGTATCTTTACGTAAGATGGGTGGGCCATCGTCGAGAATTCTCGAAGGAAGAAAGAGTTTTGTTTTCTGCGGGAGAATTGTATTAGTGTGCGTTGACAGCGTATTTCGAAGGGAGAAGTAGAACTAGACAGGGAGCGAAAGACTTCAAATAAGGTACAATATGAGGGAGAGCTTCAAAGTTCATCTATACGTAGCTCTCGCTGCGCGTACTGAGACTAGAGCGGGTGGTTTTGGAAAATATCGAAAATTAATCCCCCCTCAAACGAAGTCTTCTTTTTGAAAAAAGAAACAGAACGGTACACAGATTCGGAGCTGGATCCCACCCGTAGTGGTTTCCTCGTAATGTATTCTTGAGCTGATTCTTTTGAAAACGTTGCGCTGAGCCGCCAATCAATGCGAAGAAGGAACTCGATTTCGGTTTGCTTGCAGTGAATTGCGAGGACGTGATTGCCTAAATTGCAAACCCTTGTTGAATAGTATTCATGAAGACTTCAAGATCTCACTTTAGCCGGTGATCCATCCGTAGAACTATTCTCCTTTTGCAAGTAGCTCACAAATCTTTCAAGATCGATTATCTGCGTTTGCAACTGCTCGACAAGTTGTTGCTTTTCTTTGAAAGGATTTACAAGCTGAAACAGCCGAGCTTTTTTCGAAACAAAGTGAAACAAATGAGAAAAATCAAGAGTTCAATGTCAGCTGCAAAGGGAAATGACATACCTGCTTTAGAGCTTCATCAACATGCTTTTGTATATCAGCAAGCGACATCTTGTCCAACTCCAAATTTAAGGACATTTTAGCATGTAACTCGTCCAGGGCGGCTTTCTAAACCCTTCAATTGAGTACAAACTAGAGTGCAAAAATTATGGTAAGATATATACAGATATACAAAAGGAGTAACCTGTTTCTGCAAAATTAAGGTACTTGGCATATCACCCTCGCCATTCTCGTACGCTATTCGCTCTAGATCTTCTATTTGCTCGCGTAATTGTTTGAGTAATTCATTTTGTCTGCAAAAAGTTACTATAAAGATATGTGACTCCCAATTCTACAACCATTTCATGATCTATGAATAACGTGAGAAGAAGCCTCTCCCCCACACCGTAAGTTCCTGCACGTATATCTTATCACATAGAACTCAAATATCACACGACTAGCTTTCGGAAAGCATGGTGTCACGGAAATGTGCTCAGTATGATGAGTGACGATCACAACTGAACCGCAAATCACAGGCTAGCATTGTAATCGCCAAGTGCAACAAAGAAATGATGGAACTAGTATAAATACCTCTGCTTTTGTATCTGCAACACTTCCCCGTCGTCATTTTCGCTACGCAGTTTCTTCAATTCGTTCATATCCGCACATCCTTTGAAGGCGAAATCTTGCAGGTTTTTCAGAAGCGCCTGAAAATAAGAGTCTATGAAAAGAGGTGGGTTTTCAGTTCAAGCAAAATTCCATTGGGCCGCACTCAGTTTCGCAACAATTTCTAAAATAAGGTGAAAGTGATGACGGGAACATGGCAAATGTCTACTAGCTCTTTTACTGATATGTACATTGAACGTTGTACTTGACCGAACATTCTTCGTCCTACTTGCTGCACCTTACCAGCTTCACCAGTTTAGGTCTTAAACAATAACAAAACCATCTCAACCGACCAAAAAAGAAAAACAAAAAACAAAAACAGAAAGCACTTGAGGAATGACAAAGCCAGCATATTAGCACTGATTTTGAGCCACGCGTTGCAGCGTGTGTGTTTATCGCGAAACCCAAACGCGGCACAAAGTCTGAATGCTGCTAATTTCTCTCGGATTACCATTATAAAACGTTCCTCAGTGCAACCTAAACGCCTTGATTTTGCAGAGAACCTAAGCCCAAGCCTGGGAGAGAACTCGGGAAAGAACTCTTTAGGTACATACTGCACATCTTGCAAAGTCTCTCACCCCTATGGCTTAGTCCAAAATGAGCTAGCTTCCGTAACACCAAAGAATACCGCCACATCACCCTCTGCAGCCGTATTCCACTCTGTAACCTCAACTTCCACATACATAACCAAATCTAATATACATATGGCTAATTGCTTTCTTTCGTCCTCTTTTCAATGCGTACCATTTCGCTTCTATTGATCTACACTTCTTCATACAAATAACACAATCTCAACTGTGAAACTGTGCTCCTAAAATCTTGCTTAATGAGAGCCCTAGGGAATGATCCACGAAAAACCTACTCAGTCAAAATAAAACAGAACAAAGAGGATCCCAGAAGTCCTTCCTAGTTTTTGATCGAATTCAGCGTCGTGACAACAGAGAAGCACCCAATTTTATCCCGCTACGCTCGAAGCGTGAGTCTTCTCGAAACGTAATGCCTTATTGATACTAATCGGTGTTGGTTTAAAGATTCTCTGATCAGATTTAGCCGGAAGTGCAGCACCTTCTACGACAGCAAAAAAGAATGGAAACCGTTTCGCCTTCCTCTAAAGGTGTACCGAATCCGGATATGGTATGTGGTCAGCCTTTCGTCATCATGCTTCGTGTTGCTTGCCAAGATGGGTTTTGTTATGGGGAAGTCTTAAGAGAACTTGAGGAAAGGCGCAGGCAAAACAACTCAAAAGAAAAAAGTGCGCGCGCACCAAAAAGTAGGAAACAATGTTGCACTTCGTAGTGCACGCGGAATCTACGTTCATCCAGTTCACAAAAAGAAAGCCTTAGCAAATGTGAAAAACTCATTGTATAGCTTACCTCTCTGTCTTCCCCTTGGGCTTCTGCAATTTGCTTAAGCCGAAACTGAACTTGAGCGAAGTGGGAGCTTAGAGAGAACAAAGAATTGTTCAAACGTTCTTGCTCTTCTTCCAGTTGCTGGACGCGAAGGGCATCATTGAAGCTAAAAGGCATCGGAAGAAGATAACATGATTGGTATTCCATTGTAGTGTTTTCTTTAAGGAGTTGTCTTCTATTTCAACGCTGTCTTAAATCTTGTCATGGCATAAATAAATTAATAAAACTGGTAACGCTTCAAACCACATGAAATGAAAGAACAAACCTTGAACAGTTATCATCGCTGGATGACAACCTAGCAGAACGCCAATCGGTATCAGAGGTGGTATCTGCATCTGCATCTACAAGACAATTTATTAGTTCAGACCATTCTAAGACTCACTGTATCTGAAAGCCGTCATAACATTGACCAAAAGTGCTTGCCAAAAAAAACCGTCTTTTATCTTGATTCCCGTGCGGCATCATGTGCCGCGTGGTCCGTTACCTATTATGGCGGGCGTCCGACTTTGCGAATGTAGTGAGCTAGCGAATCACAGGGTACAAATGAGCGCCGGTGGTTCGAAAGATTTACCAGCGATTCGAATGGGGGGGTTACGGACTACATAAATTTTCGTCTATGGTCCTGCAACGAATGGCGGAGAGCACAGACGATTAGAGAACAGGTGAAGCCCTGGGGCTAAGCCTTGGAGGGGAGAGAGCGCAGATAGAAGCATCAAACCAAATCAGTTTAAAGAACACAGTTCATGTAGTCCGTGACCGGGGGGGGGGTTGAGTGGCGAGGGTCATTCGCAAATTGACTCACTAACTCTCGCCACTTTCTCAAGCTCATGGCATGGGAACTGGGTGAGAGTGGACATAGCGAGAGCAACACGTGAATGAGAGGGATTCTGGACACTCTCGACGCCCTCTAATATCGTGCATCGTTCGAAAAGCAAAGTCTGACACCTGCCATTAGAAGTGCTTCACCAGGAGAAGTATTCAATCCTTCCCCCAGGGGTATATATCCCCATACTCTGATTCAATCCTCTGGGGGGACAAAAACGGGTTGCGCCATAGCACCTAGCATGCCTCTGTGTTTCTACCTGCCAGACAGTTAGAGCAGCGCGATACCCTCCACTGATGAAACACTTTTCCCTGAGGGGTTGCGCTGCTCTAACTGTCTGCAGGTAGAAACACAGAGGCATGCTAGGTCCTATGACGCAACCCTTTTTTGTCCCCCCAGAGGATTGAATCAGAGTATGGGGATATATCCCCCTGGGGGAAGGATTGAATACCGCCCCAGAGAAGAGCACGGAGGAAGTTTTCCCGTCAACGATGACCAACGTTAAGTAGCTCCACCACTCTGGCGTTGATAGGAGCAACCCCAAGTATGACCATTCCTCATGGTGCGATGGCGAGAACTCAGTCGATAATTACCCATCCCCTTCCGCAGGATCGCCAAGTCGTCGAACCGCCGAATCGCCAAATCGCAGGTGCGGTTCGCCAGGACAGACGGCGACAGCGCGACACGTTTTTCGCCGAGAACCCCAGGTGCAGTCATGGTTGGCGGTGGACCTGAGGTTCCCGCAGCGAGTTCCGCGCTGCGATACGCGAAAAAGTCACTTTCTGTCCTAGTGAACAACACCCCCAGATCGCCTGAGAAGTGAACTATGAAGGAGCCCTGAGTGGAGTTTGGAGCCATTTGTCTCAATAATTTTTGTGTCACGTCCACCTCCTTGCCCCAAACTGCTTATACATACAACATTTAACTCAGACTGTAACCAGTTCGCTAATTTGAACGAACCTCTGCTATACTTATTTGTGTGAATGAAATACAGAAATCAATGAAAAGATGAAAGGCAGAACGCACAGAATTAGAAAGCTGTGGAAACATAAAATGAATCAAAATGAAACAAAAACTTGCACAAACGAACCATCTTCAGTATTTCGTTCAGTCCTGAACGAGCCAAGTGTCTGTTCTAGTTCATCGAGGCAGCCACCCTCGTTTGGGTTGGCCATGATTCTGGAAACCAGCAGGATAATTCGCCCAAATCGAATATGGAACAACGTGACGACTCGGAAAAGACAATGCGCACTATTATAAATAACAGAGGAATAAGCCAACACACTCGCGCTATCGATCAACGTTGTTAATGACGACATCTTACGTCACTGAGGGAAACACGACAACGATCAATGCGAATTGCAACCACACAAGTGACGCGACGCAGCGCGTCGCGCGTGTACTTTGCTGACTAGAGCACGGATCCTACACTGTGAATGCAGTTGTACCTTTTGTTCGAACCTTCTATTTCCCACTTTTGCTCACAAAAACAAGGCCTGACACAATGTGATTCGGGGGCCCAGCGAGTGAAATTGGTCAGGGTCACGGAAACGCTCAGTAGTAGGGTTAAGCGCCAGGGGAAGAATGACTCGGAGGTGCGTAATCGCTTTTCATTCTCTCCGCAGTACCTCCTTCTTCGTAGATTGGGCTCTACAGGCCTTCCAAAGACTACACCCACTAGGTCAGCCGTCCATCGTCATTGGTAGACAAATGGTGGTTTCTGGCACCAAGGGTAAGAGTGTAGATGGGAAAGGGTGCGATTCGTGTAGTATTAAGACTGAGCCTTTTCAAGGAAATAATGAGAGCAGGATGTGTAGAAGTGTGAAAGTACGAGAGCTAGCAGACAGCGCTACAAAGCTCTGTAATGCCTAGTGTCACGGTTGACAGAAGCCTTGAGACAGGTGAATGGGAGAGGGAATCACCGAAGGAGACCATACTTTGGAAAAAAAAACTAAACAAGAGTTGTTTAATTTGAATTCGATCTCTTCGCCTATCTTTAACAGATCGACGAGGTTAAATGGCGCGAGTGCGTGGTGGTCGCATGAGGATGACGAGCATACAAGTTCAGGCAGTTATTATGAATAGAACCATATTCGGGACTTACAAGCGGAGGGCGTTCAGGGTGTGGAAGGCTTTTCAAACGGTTATCTGCATGTTATAGGAGCTCATGACGTGGACTCAAAAATCGTGCTTCATTTTCGCTGAGCGCCTAGCGAATGCCAAAGAAATGCGGCCGGAAATGGTCCAAGGTTCAATCTTTCGTGAGGGCAAAATTTTTTCGCATTCAGGTTGGGCTTCAGAATTCGCTTCAATGGCGCCAGCGCCAATAATAGATAATAGATAAAGCATCAGTAATTTATTACCCGCGCAGATTTTTCCGGTAACTCGGCGGAAAAAAATAGTTGTTGCGCAAAATAAGGGCATCAGGGCCGTATAGTGCGTAACATGGGAGCATCGAAAATGTGGATTTATATTCGTAATCATTGGTGCAACCGCTCTAAATTGGTGATTCATTGCGAGTGGGAATACTGTCTTGGACTGCATGCGAAAGGTCGCTTGACGGATCTCGGTGTATCTAATTAACGTCAAGAGCATGGGATCTAACAGCTCAATGCTAGCGAATTACCGTTCTTCAAGGCCTGAAAAATATGAATTCTTACCCGATCCAGATTTTGAAGGAAGCTATACTCACATTCTCCGAAGATTGGCTTCCACTAAAACTCTACAAGACAAATTTTTGACAGAAGCTAAAAAACTCCAAAGGGTTCTTCATGAAGCCTTCCGCAAAATGGATGACCATCAAGTCACGAAGTTTGGAGAAGTTCGAAGATCACCTCGTGTTGGATAAAAGTCTCTGCCAACTTACGTGCTTGGTCCGCTTAGCCAGTGCTACTCGTACATAGTTTTGCGGATAGAGTACTGAGAGTGGAGTTAGCTCGCGAAAACTACTACCATTTGCTTCTATCTTTGCTTTCATAATTCCGTTGTAGACTCATGGTGCGACATTGATAGCGCGAGCTTTCGATTCCTGCCTAGCGACCACCATACCCTACGGATATTGCAAGGATGGTGCAGTAAGCGCAAGGCCGTGTAGGCAGGCTAGCGGTGGATGAAGACCCCACCTAGTAGGCACGTCTAAAGCTCCAAACTATTCTGTGAGTAAAGCTAGATCAATCAGAAGTGGCGCGCAGTACAGCGCTGGAGTCTGTATTCACGTATGCGAGGGTCCAGAAGTGAACGGCTCGGCCAAAAGGAGCCAGTTAATAGGTCGAATTGGACGAGGATTAGACAGCGCTAACTGAATTTCCCGAGAGTTGTTACAGGGTCAACCTTGCGTTTGCGCAAAGAACAACGAGGGTGGTCTGTATCAGCCGAGCCGAAAAAGGAGGGGGTCGTATCCCAAACGCGGCTGCAGAGGTTTGAAAGTGCAGGGGTCCGGGAGTTGCACTTTTCAATAAACGCTTAATTGTTCTCAGGATGCTCTGCACGCTTCGGAGCATGTCACACAGACATGAGCTCCATGGTGAGCATCAAAGTCATGCCATGAGCACTATAAGTTCACTATCAGCTTATTATCCGCAATCGACGCTATCGACAGACGGCGTTTTGTACTAACACTTCTTCAAAGAAAAAACAGAAGAATTTTGCAAAATGCGAGTGCGAATTTCTGCCACAGATAGGTGCACGGCGTATACCGCGCAGGCGTATTTTCCATAAACGCCTCCTCTGTCAGCGACCGTAAGCAGACAAACTTTCTGAAGGAAGGTTTTGATGCTTTCAAACAAATTCTAGCCGAAAACAATAGTGTAGTCGAATTTGCCTGAATTGAGTTCTAGAGACGCGTAAGTTAAATGAGCAGAGATTGAAGTGTCAGGGAAATTTCACAGCCGTTATGAATAGTTCAGCATAGAGGATTCAACAATCTTACCGCTTTCTTCATCATTATATTTTCAAGAAGTTAAGTTATGGGCTTTTGAAGAGATGCATAGTTCGCGGGTTCCGAGGGAATCACACCTGTCACTGTCTGTCGTTTGATCTGGGTCGTTTATTGTCGAGCGTGCGCCAGCTAACGTCTCTTCGTCCCTTTGTCGCTTGCTAGGTGGTCAGTGATCCGTCCTGCCTGAGGGAAAGAAGTCCATCATGCCTTCCGTTTCAGAGTTTCGTGAAGAAGTCCGACCATCGGCGGCGGTGTTTTGTCCCAGGTGGTTCGGTCTACGTCCGAGGGATCCAGTTGTGTTGTGGTACCGCTTTCTGGTCCAACGGCAGTCGTCTAAAATTCGCATTGACGTCCGTGCTCGTTTTATGTCGTTGTGAGTCCTTGTGCGAAACGCAGCTCTGATCTTTCGGTCGTTGGCGTATGTCTTCGGCACTTCCGGATTCCCCTTGCACTGCCGTGTATAGTTTACTCTAGCCATCGTCCTCTCGACTAGCGCGTTGTTGATATCGTCTGATCGCATTGGCTCGTCCGCCTGAGTAGTCAGCTCAAGTCTTCTGAGGCGTAGGTTTTAGTGTAGGAAGGACAGCTGGAATTTCGGAAGTTATGGTGGTGCACGGGAGCCTGGATGTTCTTCGTCTTCTTGCTTATACTCTCCTTATTGTTTCGTGTACGCTCTCAATATGCCGCTTCGTTTCCTCTGCTCAGCTCTGGAGCTAGATTTTCGTTCTATCATGATCGATTTCCGACTAGTACAGTAGCTGCGAGCATTTCGGTGATGTCGTTCCGTTGCGCTCGCACTCGCGCGCTCAGAACCAATCATTTCTCATATAACATCGTTCTTCGTTAGGTTCACCTGTAAACACTTTACCACAGGCGCGTCGAATCAGCCGCATTCGCGCCGCTTGCTCGATGTTAGGCGTTATAAGAAACGAATTGTCGTCCCATGCAATGACGATATGTGGTGGTGGAGTTGTCATGCGTCGGATACCTTCACTCTATGCAGGGGTGAATATCGTGCGAGGAAATCCTCGGACAGGTGGTCGTTACTCTGTTGCGGCTGGTTCCATGGGGGTGTGCGTACCTTGGGCGGTCAGTTAACAGCGATGTGTAGGGCATGGTGCATGATAGGGAATAGGTATAGCGCAGTCCAGAAAATGAAAACATCCGAAAAAACACATGATTATTAAATTTCTTTGCAGGTTCAGTCGCCTCCATTCCTCCACCTTTCATGAGAAGGGCGTATTTTGAAAGGCAGTACTAGATAGTGAGAGGGTGTTATCCCCGGCAAAGAAAGAGTCACATAGTGCGCACGCGCTCTAAATGGACACCTCTCCGACCTATCACTGACTCCTTTCCCTTAATACCTCGCTGAGAATGACGCCTGTGTTAGCGGACCCTTCGGAAAAACGGTCAACGGCTGTTATGTAGAAAAGCGCTGGCAGATATGAATTGTGTATGTACTTAGGAATTAAGCTACAATCACTACTATGTATTCTTATATACAGTTCTGTTTCGAAGGTCTGCTATTTTATTAACACTTTTCATATTCGTTACTGCACTGTTGATTGGAGGAGGGAGCATTGCTTATCAATACCATCTGGCTTATGGATGTACGATTTGCTTCCTATTTTCTATTTCGCGTCGTAGATATTGTTCTAGACACATGCGAGTTTGAACAGTCACTTACGCAATGCTGGTGATTAGATGGAGCTGCATTTTCCATGTGGCCGATCGACCTTCGATATGATTCTTCGAGTCGTGATTAGCTCTAATTCTATATTTTGAGAGCGTATTATTAACTTTATAACGACCATCAGAAGCACACTTCCGCTTTCCAAAACATATCCTTTTCAGGATATATATAATTGCTATAATATTACATATCTCTCGTGTTATAGTTTCGGCCTCTCGACATTGTAGTCGACGAATATTGGGTACGCACCCTATCTTTTCTTGCAAGGTAGGTTCCATGGGATCAATTTCGATGCTTGTTGGAAACGTTCAGGATCTGTTCTTATTGTGTGAGACTCTTCCTCAAGCGCTCTAAAGGGTTGTGAATAATGGTAGGAATTGTCGACTTCATCGATGGGTGTAGATTCGGACGTGGTTTTTTTTTGATAATTTTTCGGCCAAATCTTTACCAGTGACAACGACGCGCAGCTGCCGTTGAATTCGGCCGTTTGATTTGATCATCGGTGTTTTGATATACTTTGATATATATTGTTATTCTTAGTATAA